GATAGTGGTGAGGTATGCGTAGGAGTGGCAGAAGGAAGAGATGGGCGGGCCGATCGAAATATCGATAGCATCGATACCAATGCTGATATCACTATCAGATCGATACTAGGTTGATAGGATCGATACTTTGTTTCTAGCCTCAGTTCAGTGTATGTTGCCATGGAAAGTAAAACATCACAGTGTTTTAGTGGTCATTTCATAAGTGATGACACACTGCTCTCCCCTATATTGTCTGCCTTTGGTATATTAAAAGTGTCAGTATCAGTATTGGTATAACCCTGTATTTACTTATTATTGGCTCTATACCAACATTTGCTGTATTGCACAGCACCAGAAGGGTTCAACCTGGGCATGGGATTACATCAGGGATGGTCCTGAGCCTTTCTTCTTTGCTATTGTGATGAAGAGGTTAAAGGACAATGTCAGGCTGGAGTTTCCATGGATTGTGATGATTGCAGACCACATTGTCAACTATGGTGAGATTAGGAAGCAGATGCAGGAGAGTGTAAGGAGGCGGCGGTAGTCTCAACATGCACAGAGCAGGGATGGTGGAATGTTGAAGATGAAGCTAACAGGCAGGAGGAAAAGCGGAAGGCCACTAAGGCGGTTCATGGAAGCAATGAAGGAAGACATGCAGAGATTGCAGCTTAAATCTACTGTTCTGTGCAAATGTTGTGATAATGCATCATTTATTAGCTTATTTATTCTAAGCATTTATGATCTAAATCAACAAAACAATGTCAACCTGAAGTGGAGAACAAAGTCCATCATTTGTCTCCAAAATACTCCAAAAGGGGTAAAAACACAGACTGTGAGGGACTCAGCTGGTTAGGCATGAGGGTAAAGTAACTACAACACAAAACCAGACTGAAAATATAACTGAGCTATCAGACACAAAAGAAAAGGGAACTTAAATACTGGCTGATCACACCAAAGACGCCCAACGGGGGAACTACAACAAAGAAGTTATCTTATAAGAAGTAAATAAAACAGCAACTAGTTTGTCAGTTAGTTTAACTTATCAATAATCTAATGCAAAAAACAAAAACAACTGAATACCAAACTCAAATGTCACGTAAAATAAACAACCTATTTAAAGTAAACATTTCTTGGCCTCCCCTGCGATGACGTGACACTTGGTACATTCCAGTTCCTGCATTTGAAAGAGGTGCATTTTGAAGGCCCATCTTTTCCTCATTTGGGTAGATCTCAGCAGCCAAGTGACCACATTTGTGTGTCTAATATTAAGCTTGACTATTATTTTATTTTTGTGTTCTCTTCTATGAATTTAGTTGATATTTGTATTATGTTTACGTCTTTGTGATTGCTGACTGTATGTGCATGCGATAATACAGGGCCCCACTAACAATGGGGATACAAAAACAAAGATAAAGAGCTGAACATGCAAAAGTTGACTATACATGTGTGCTACAAACAGAGGCATGTGTGTTTGAAACACATGCAAAATAAACACAAATCTGTTTCATGAAATCATGATGTGTTCTCATTTATGTGTTTAAATGCAATGAGTATCAAAAACTAAGATAAATAAAGTGTGTTGCATGAGGTCAACAACTGATTATAAAAGTTGTCATCATTATTTGGAATTTCTAGCAGTGGCAGCCCCTCTAAAAATAAAAAAAGAACTCTAAGTATACTTGACTTCTCGGATTTCTGACCTTAGCAAACATTTTATTGATGAGTTCTGTTTTACTTGTGAGTCTAAAGTCACGATGGTGTCAATATTTAGAATAATGTTGCTATTAAATATAGAGAAGCAAGAAAACATTTACTGCAAGTCGGCTACTATATGAGCATGCAGTGGCTTTAGATTTTCAGTCAGAGTCACCTGTCGCTCCTCAAGTTTGTTTTAACAAAAACAAGCAGGTGAAGAACAAAATGTTTGAGTCAAAGCCCCAGAGCCCCGTTCCACATAAACTATATGGGCAAAAGCACTGGGCCGCTTACACATTGCACCTCCAGAAGCTGCTCAGTTGTGGAAACCCCTGCCACAAAGCTCCTAGTGCACAGCTTTTGTCTTGATGCTATTGCCAGAGGAGGTTTGGGGCTCTGTATTTATATTTAATTTATTTTATTTAACCAACAGAGACACACTCTCAGTTCAGTTCCTGGCTTACCCAGTCTGTATGTCTAAGTATCCTTGGGCAAGAGACTGAACTCTCCCGATGCATCCCTTGTAATATGAGTGAGTCTGTGGGAATGTGAGGAAGAACTTAAGGCTTAAAGGGAAAAAAAATACCCTGCATAAATGTGCACGCGACTGGGTGAACAATAATATTAAGTACAGTCCATTAAACAACCCATTTAAATAGAGAAGATGAAAACTATCTGTCATTGACTTTTCTTCCACCATTCTGATGCGCTGTTTATTCAGTAGGTCATGTTGACAATGTTTGCATGCCAAAATGTAGCTGAGCAGGTGTACCACCAAAGTGGCTGGTGGGTGTAGGTGGGTCTTCTGCATGTGAAAAATGAGGCACAAAATGGTTTGTGCATGCACCCCAGATAATCAGTGTGGTGCCTGCTCGTAAATAACACTGTGGACAGATGCAGATGACGGGAAATGTATTCGTCTCTGGCAGGAAACAGAGAAGCTGCTTAAAATAGGTTTCTTGTTAAAAACATAAACATGGATGAAATGATAAAAGTGAGTAGCTGGGCTTTAAATAACGCGTAATAAGCCCGCTTTAATGAATAAAACGATGAATAAATTCTAATAGAAGAGCTGGGGTTTGTTGAACCAGATGAATTATCCAAACGTAAACCCGGTTGGAGGCCTGATTTTAACCAACAACAAACTGCGTCCGTGTGACGAGCCTCCGATTTCCGGGGAAGCCGCCACTGAGAAACAAACGCACACGGATACGGCGATGGGAGTGGCCAAACAATCGGATTGGATAACAGGATGTGACTTGAGCTGTTTTGGGGTGAGGCGGTGCGTTTGGAGGTGCACAACTTTCTGCGTGTTTTGCGCAGTTTCGCAGCCTTTTTTTCTTTTTCCGCGCACCTCGGACAAACCGAAACGGCGGCTTTAAACACTCGGAGCTTTCCTCTCAGCGAAAGCGCACTGATCTGAGGAAGTGCCCGAGCGGGCCGCTGCACGTTCAGCGTCTCGCGTGTGGGTTTACTTACGTTGCGTGCAGGAGAGGAGGAGGGGAGGAGGTGGAGGGGGGGAAAGTTGTGGACATGTTTTCCTGGAAGTGCACGGTTTTGCGGATACAGTGTGCAACATTGTAACTACGGCGTTACTGAGCCTGCCCCGGGCCCTGGCCGGACTTTGGAGCGTATTTCCGCGGGGCTGCTCGCTCGCCCGCCTGCTCGCCATATTGCGCGCTGTGAAACTCGAGGGAAAGTTGTCAAGAGTTATGACATTTGCTGCGCACGATCCCTTCATGGAGCTGCGCGCAGTTGATCGAAACCAAAGTGACTCCGTGGAGTTGGACACGGGCGACTCTTTGCACCATTGATAAGGTGATCACACGGTGTGTAAGTAATGCTTTTTAATCTGCTGGATTGCCTAAGAGCTCTTCGCTCCTCAGACGCTTCCTTATTGCTCTTTTTTTCTCCTCTCACACAAACATCACTGGCTATCGCTCGGGTGATTGCACGAGCCCCTTCGTTTCCTGTATTTCTTGTTGTGCCAAATGGCAGCTACACTGTAAGCGCCGCCGTGTTGCGGTCTGTCTGTCCCTTCGAAACTTGCAATGCCCTATCTGCGCGCACTCTTTCTCTCTGCTCAATCTGCGTGCAATCCTGTATATTTTCACTTTACTCTAACGGGGCTATCTGCTGGTGTAGGCCTCAATTTCCTCATTGCCAAAGACGACTGAGAGTCGAGTGAAAACTCTGTGTCTTCTAAGAAAACAAAAGTGTCTGACTTCTTCTTTCTATCGTAAGGTCTTGCACCCCCTAAAGAGGATGGACAGCGAGCCTCAGATTTGATTCTTGAAGGAGGACTGCGTGTTCTCCACCCTGTGCTTTCCTTTGGGATTTATATTTCCTCCCAGATACCTCTGTATACACAGTTAAAGAATTTCTTCACCACAAGCAGTGAAAGCGCACTACAGAGGCACCAACTTGCTTTTGCACGCTCACAGATCGGGACTGAAAGCTCTATTACTATGAGTCTTCCTGCTCAAGTAAATACTGACAAGAGTGGTAAGCACCGTGCTGCAGCCATGAAAGAGGCTGTGCAGCACCCAGGGGAGGTTTATTATGGTATGGGACCGCCAGCTTTAGAGTCAAGCCACAGTGACTCTGCCAGCAGCTCTGGTGTTTATAATCAAGAGAAAGGGCCCCAGAGTTTACCGCACTATCAACAGGGTGCTCCAGTAAAATGGATGCACCAGGACTCCTTACAGGCCCCTGGCTGGTCCCAGGAAGTTCCTGTGTCGACCTGGGGACAGAATTTTGGCCCCTACATGAGCGGAGTGAATGTCAGGAATCCGATGACGTTCCACAAGGGAGTCCACGAAGGTGTAGCTCTGCCGATGGGAGGGGAAAATCAGCTGTCCGGACCTGTGGAGGTTTATAGAGATGCCACACAGGCTCCGGCTCAAGGCAGGGGGATCGAGTGGGAACAGCATGCTGCAGCGGCGGCGATGCACCAGGCTCAGCTGCAAGCCTATCAACATGGCCACAAAGGCGTGGAGCTCCAAGGCCAGTCACATGTGCCACCTCATGGTTTGCAGGGGTCCATGCTGCAGCCCTTCCAGGCAACATTTAGACCCAGCAAGCAACAGTTCTCATCTGGCTATTACTCGGTTTTTCCGGCAAACAAGGCAATTCCGAACCTGCCCTACAGTGAGCAGCCCAAAACTCAGCAGCAGCTTCTACACCAGATGCAGCAGCAGCAGCAACAACAACAACAGCAGCAGCAACAAATTCATCATCACCATCATCACCAACAACAACAGCAGCAGCAGCAACAACAGTTGCATCAACAGCATCAGATTCAGCTGCAGCAGCAGCAGCAACAACAGCAACATTTGCAGCAACAGCAGCACCAAATCCAGCAACATCAAATCCAACAGCTGCAGCAACAAATGCAGCAACAGTATCAGCAGCAGCAGCAGCAGCAGCAGCAGCTCCAGGAGAGACAGCAACAAATCCAGCAAATGCAACAACAGCAGCAGCTACAGCAGCAAAATGTGTCACAGCAAGACACGACACAGCCACAGGTGCAACCAAAACAGCAGCAGACCCAAAACTTCGTCGCTTATCAGCCTGCCGAGCCGCCTCCATCTGAAACTGGGTCCAAAGAAGATGTTCAGTCGACGGAGGAGGAAGCAGAGGCTCAAAGCTGTGACGCGTCAGCCGTTCCTGATCAATGCCCCGAAAAGGCCGGCGCAAATCCCACAGAGCCCGCAAACGCGGCTGCTCCTCGGCGCTCGCGTCGCCTTTCCAGGGAGGGGCAGTCGCCACTGGATCCCCCTTCCACAAACATCTGGTCTCAAGCCAAAGAGCCTCCACCGCCCCAAAACGGAGTAGCGGGTGCGCAGGTTGCGAAAGCAGGGGAAAGCCAAGTGACAACAGGAGGGGTCATCCGTAGGAGAAGGAGAGCATCCAAGGAGATCAACTTGGAAACCCTGGCACAGAAGGCGTCAGAGATGGAGTCCCTGCCTGCAAAAATTGTAAAGGTAAAAGAGAAATGGCTCATTACACTGCTGCTGTAGGGAATATATCAATCATTTATGAGAGTAATATGATTTTAAAAAAAAAGAAATAAAATACTCTTAGGCTCAGGTTGCTTGAGAGGGAACGGGGCAGGCAGCTCATTTGTGCAAGTGAGAGCAGATTTTCTCATCTGGCAAAGTTGGCAAGCAGCTGTACAAAGAGGAAGGACTCTGTTTCTATGCAGAACTTCCCTATGGTTTACAAAATCCTTTTCTTGGGCTTGTTTACTCGACTCGTGCAGCTGTTGAGCCTCAGCCATTGCGGGCTGTTTTAACAAGTTGCACATCGATACTGCAGACAACGTATCTGGTGAAACCTGAATGTCTGCCGTTCACTGAAGATTCGCCTTTTTGATCTGCTCTCCTCATTTTACTGCTGTATGAAAGATGATACGCTCTGTCGTTTTATTCAGGATATATAATATTTACTTTAATCGTGGCACACCCACTGGGGCCTGCTTCTTTAAGGTTTCTTTAGCAGTTTTTATTTTGTTGTTGTTTTTTTTACATAAACACAAGTCGCAGAAATGAGTAAAACTCAGTCTGAGTCCATTTTAACGCAAGCAAACGGACAGGTAGTCCTCTTCCCTCAGGGGGTTACGAAGCTTATCGAAGGCTTTCTTGCACCGCGCGCACGTTGGAGCAGCTGCATGTCTGCACACCTCCACATTCCTCAGGCCTTTTCCCAGTCATTCAGCAGAGCTAGGGAGGGGCAGCACTGTCAACCTGTATAGCTACACTCCTTTTCTCCCCACTACACGCCAAACAGGTTTAAGGTGGCGATTCACAACCCAGAGCTGTTTCGTTGTGGTTAGTTAAACTGCACTTTGTTTTCTAGGTCAGGAGACGAGACGAGTGTCTTTACTTTTGTTCTTAACTTTTACTAATTCTAAATCACAAAACTGATTCATGCTTTAACCCCCACCACTAGAAGCCAGGATTACTCATTTTGCTAGTTTTTCTTTGAGTTAGAATGAGCAGAAATACCAGGCAGGCATGTGGACGTCTCCGAAAGCCTGCCAAAGTATGTGCTTGTAAAGCCCTATGATGAAATTTTATATATTTCTATTTTTATTTTACAGGTGGAATGCACATGTTTTGAAAGAGACTTTAATTTTTCTGCTCTGTGGTGTTTATTTTAAATTTTCATTTTTAATTGATCTCTTAATTATGGCGTTTCAAGCTGATATGTGGTTTATTGGTTGAGGAATTAATTTTGAGGAAAATAATAAGTTGCTACTTTATCATTTAGGTGCTTTTAAATCTTAAAAGTAAACTCATCTGCCACTTTATTGGGTACATGTTCCCCTCTATTCTTTAATCCTCTGTGGCATTGATTAAATGAGTTGTCTCAGAGAAATTTGTCCAGATTGACGTGATAGTATCATGTTTTTGTTGTCATTGCTACTTTTTATTCGAATAATATATTTTTGAACTTTATTTGCATTTTTTTTGTGCTTTCTATGTTCACTGGACACTTTATTAGGTACAACTAGATCTGCTAGTGTATGCATAACTAAAGCAAGGTGCTGGAAACATTCCTCAGAGATTTTGATGCATATTGATGTCATGACATAACACTGCAGATTTATCAGCTGCACGTCCATTGCATGAATCTCCAGTTCTGCCACATCCCAAAAGTGCTCAGCCAGATTGAGATCTGGTGGCTGCGAAGGCCACTGAGCTCACTGGGATGTTCAAGAACAGTTTGAGAGGATGGTGCGCTATCCTGTTGTTTACACTAAATTCTGACCTACCACCTGGATGTCGGTGCAGAAACTGAGACTCAACAGACCGGGTAACATTTTTCATCTGTTGTGCAACTGTTGAGCCTGTTTGAGTTGTTGCCTCCGTTTCCTGTCTTAGCTGCCAGGAGTGGCACCCAGTGTGGTCTTCTGCTGCTGTAGCTGATGTTGTGAGTTAAGAGATGCTCTTCTGCGTACCTTGATTGTTATTATTGAAGATACTGTTGCCTATTTAACAGCTCAAAGTAGTCTGGGCATTCTCCTCTGATCTTTGGCATCAACGAGGCAATTTTCCCAGAGAACTGCTGCTCGCAGGATATTTTCTCTTTTTCTGATCATTCTCTGTAAACCCTAGAGATGCTTGTGTGGGAAAATCCCAGTAGATCAGCAGTTTCTGAAATACTCAGACAAGCTCATCTGGCACCAACAATGCCACATTTAAAGTCACTTAAATCGCATTTCTTCCAAGTGGTTGATTTGCACTTCAGCGGATCATCTTAACCGTGTCTATTTGCCTAAATGCACCGGGTTGCTGCCATGTGATTAACTGATTGGATATTTGTACTGATGAGCAGTTAAAGCAGCTGTACCTAATAAAGTGGCTGGTGAATGTAAGAAATGTATGTCTGTTGTATCTTGGGGACTTTTTAGTGATTCAAATGTTACAAAAAACAACGAAAGAATAGATATTTCTGTTCAGAAACAGTAATTCTGATTCTCTTTTTTTTAAATTGGAGCCGAATGCAAAAAAAGCTCATGTGACCACATGGACTTCTTCCTCTTTTTATATCTCAATCCCTTTTCCTTTATTTTCCTGCTACTTCCTCAACTCTCTTCTGCCTTTTCTAATCTTCTTGCCTCTTTCCTTATTGTGCCTCAACAGGAAGACGGTGCTTCAAGCAGGCAAGCCACAATGGTGCCCCTGGTCATCCCAGTATCTGTGCCAGTCCACAGAGGTCAAACAGATCCTCAGGGTGGCTGGGCTCAGGGGCGGCCCGGTCAGGGCGAGCGGCCTGCTGCACCATCCGATCGCAAACCTTCTGTTATTGTGGCTCGCCGGCGATCGCTGAGAAGCACCATGACTGAGAGTTTTGCTCAGGTTAGTTCCCTGAGGACGAGAGATTTGAATTGTTTTCCTTTCAGTCACTTTAAAGGGACTTTTTTCTTTTTTTGCATACCACGATGAAACATTTACAGCCGTCGTGTTTGTAGATGTTTATTCAGGCTTAGACCACATTGCATAACTACCTTGATACCCCCCTTTAAAATGCAAGTTTGAGCAGTATTGTTAGCAAAGACAATGTCATCCCACCCAGTTACACAAACAACCTCAAAGTTCAACTTCTCATGGGTCGGCTCAGACCTTGCAGTGGTTAAACATTGAGACTTTGAGTCTTTCAGACATCTGCTGAGGAGTAACAGAGATGTGCAACTGAAACTTGGACCAGCCCACAATTTATGGACTGAATTAGATGATGTGACTCATTAATTCCAAAATCCTGAACCACATGAACATCATTACAGACTGTAGGTTCACAGTGAAGTCAGATTCAGGAAGTGCACTCATCACTGGGCCAGATGATTAAATCTATTTTATGTGTGTAATGCAAAAAACTCAATGTAGGGAGAAGACAAACTCCTAATTGAGCTTAGATATTTTTATCTGGTCGAGTAGGTTTGGTGTAGAGAGGTCTGCTTATTCTTACTGTAAAGCGACACCATGACCCGTTTAGGGCTAAACGTGCCAAAAATACATTTGCAAAATTCAGCTTCAGTGTCTTTTTCAGAATGACTTTATTCATACATTTTCATAACCACATAACCCAGACAGGTCATGAATCTGTCACAGGGCTTGTACAAAAAAAATGGGTGATCATTCACACATTCAGTTTAGAATCGCAAATTAAGCTAGCATGCATGTCGTTGCATGTGGTTGTGACAGTGGGGTGAGAAGTAAACATTAATGATAGTATTAGGTAGGAGTATTAGTGCAACAACATAAATGTCATTGTTCATTTTGAGAAAACAGTCAAAATACGGAGATTAAAGTTGGCGTTTCAATTACTCATCTATACCCGGCATTTTGTAGAGAGTATAGCAGCCGTGGGAGTTGTTTGACTTCAAACTACAACTTTAATCTCCAAATTTAAAATGAAATGAACAACAATATACTTTTCCTTAATGTGGTCCTAGTACTTCTTCAGAGGGGATTTTAGCTTGTGCCAGCTCTGATTCTGTTTCTCCGTTTACTGGAGAAACTGGGCGCTGGGATTTCTGGAGTTGCAGCTGAGTTTTATTTATTTTTTGCAAAGTCATAAAATTAAGGCAAGTCCCAGCTGAATGCACAGGCGATGCCTCCAAAGCTGGGCGTTTGACACCAACAGAGAAATGGCACTACAGGCCTGAGAAAATGTTCAGTTGTTCTGTGTGGGACTGTTCCTTTAATTTCCAACAAGGTCCTCAAATGTTGGACATAGAGGTACAAAACTTTATCACATAAGTCTCAAAACACTAGCATAATTTGAATATCAGAAACGGTTTAGTCCAAAAGGATGTTTTAATACAGTTAACGATCTGGACCTGAGATTTAATAATAAATCGGTGAACTTTGAAAACGCCTTTCTAACCTGACTTGTTGTGTAAAACCCATTTACACCCCAGCTGATGAGGCGTTGTCGTCTGTGTGTGGCTTTTCCCTTCTCACAGAGAAACTTAGATTGCGTCACGATAAACCACGTGAGAACGTTCAGTCAGCTTTATGGCCGGTTGTGTCTGATCCAGGAGCAATAAAGGTTAATACAGGAGGAAGGTGGAGGATAGCAGGGAGAATTTATTCCTTGATTCCTTGAATTTGATCAGTCAGGCGTGAAACCTGCTTATGATTGTTATAAAAAATATAGGTTTGTGTTAACTCTGCTTCTTCCATCCAGGATGAGGAAAGCGATACAGGACTTGATGAGGACGGAAAAGCTAAACTGAAGCGCAGGCCACGTCCCGAACCTCTCATCATCCCTCCCCCCAAACCATCCACCTTCATCGCACCATCCGTCTACTCCAGCATCACTTCCTTTCAGAGCAACCTCCGTTCTCCGGTGCGCCTGATGGACAACCCTCTTAGCTTTCCCCCATACACGCCACCACCCATCCTGTCTCCTGTGCGGGAGGGCTCCGGACTCTACTTCTCCACCTTCCTCACTAACATAGCTGTAACCAACCAAATCCTGCCGCCCCCGCCTACGCCCAAGTCTGCAGCTCGGAGCCTTCTGCGTTCCAGTGAGTCTCGTTTGCTTCAGTTCTTTTGCAGTGATATATGTGAGTTACTTATTTGAATAAATTCCTTAACAAGCAAGAGCTTTTTCATTCGCCTCTTCCAGCGAGTTCAGACGTTACGCCGCCTAGCTTCACCTTGAACGCCGAGGCTACACCTGTGAGCCTCGAACCGTGAGTAGCACTTAAACATCCAAACAACCTACTATTGTTTCTAACTGACGGCTTCATAACTCAGCCCTCTGTGTTGGCATTCAGACGGATCAACATTGGGCAAAAGTACCAGGCAGAAATTCCTGATTTGCAAGATGAAGCTTCTTCCCAGTCCGCCCAGCACAAAGCGGACTTGGTTTGGGTTCCTATTGATGACGCCGCCTTCAAACATGGTGACAAAGAGACCAGTAAGTGTCCATCATAACATGTGACCTACCGACCTCGCTTTTTATTCATACTTTGAGCTTTTTGTCACCATCGACACTCCTCACGTTCTCTTTGTAGTGGAGGATTTGATGAACATGGCATGTTCGAGCGTTTTGAGAGGAGGAGGAACCAATCAGGAGCTGGCTTTGCACTGTTTTCATGAATGTGGAGGAGATTTCCTTGTGAGTAAAGTGACGTACAGATATTACATTATTTACACTACTACTTGTAAGTGTTTCATAGCTTTCAAATGAGGGACATGCCTTTGCTCACGGTGATGCCAACTTTTAAGGAAACACTGGGACGTTTGATGCATCAGGATCCAATTTTCCCCAAAGGCCATCAATTGATAGGTTATCACTATTCAGGTAACAACAACAAAAAGAAGCTTTTTATGCTAATTGCTTCAATCAGCTGTCACGTGCTTTGTCTTTGCCTTTCTCTGCAATTTATGCTCTTGCTCACTCGCCTATTTTTACTGCATTTGTTTTCCCCTCAGGCTCTGACAGCTGGACAGCAGAGGAGAAGCGGTTTTTCAATAAGGGGATCTCTGCCTACAGGAAGGACTTCTTTCTGGTGCAGAAACTGGTATGCTCGTTAATTTGACCCTGCAGCAAGAACAACTGTGAATCAGTGGGGGGGAAGAAAGCAACCAAACAAACAGTTGCATACGATTAAATGCACTCTGTGTAGCGTCAATAAATCCTTTGTGCACTCCTCGAGGCATTCACGTAATTGCTTTAATCAAACAAGACAATAATAGTTAAGACGTTCGGTCTTTGCTGCATGATGCCAGATTTAGATGTAATGGAAAATGAGTAAACAGGAAGAGGACGCTCACCTCTCAACACAAAGACGAGCTGCATCTTTAAAAAGGTTCAAAAAGTCATTCAGACTGAAAAATTCACATCCTCTTTGCGACAGGAAATGACTATTTTTATAGGAAATGTGGGCTTTTAAAAAAAAAAAGCGGTAAAATAAGCTGAGACAGAGTGACTTCTCAAGGATTATCTTACGTATTCTTATTATTCAGTAAAGCTTTACATGTGCACGCTTCTCTGACTGTTTTAAAGGTGCGGACTAAGACCGTGGCTCAGTGTGTGGAGTTCTACTACACATACAAGAAGCAGGTGAAAGTTGGTCGCAATGGGATTTTAATGTTCGGCCCTCCTGATTCACCTGCGGAAAAACACGCAGAGGCAGTCGTGGACGTCAAGGTAAGCGCGGTTAAATCTGACCTTTATTTTAAAGAGTCAATATGCAGTCATGGTAATAAAAAGCACATCCTGAATTCTAAGGTGAAGTAATCTGGTCCTTTAATTTGTTGTTTATCAAACAAAAGTTAAACCAAAATTCAGAAGCACTGTGTGAAAAATTACAGCCTCAAGAGGCTAGGTGGCAGCCAGGTGCTGCTAATCAAATGCATTTGATTGATTTTGTTAACCTTTATTGAGATAGGGCAGTGGAGAGGAATCGGGAAAGCTGGGTAAGAGAGCAGGAGGAAGACGTGCAATAAATGACTTCAGTGTGGCTTGAAACCAAGGCCTCTTCAACAGCCTCATGGCCATAATTAATAGCGCCACATCTGCTGAAACTCCTCTCATACAAACACACATTAGAGCACAAGCGCCTGATACCAACTGTCAGGCACGTTGGTGGAGGAGTGAGGATTTGGGCTTGGTTTTGCAGTCAAAGTCAACCATGTGAGGCCATTTGTCCAACAGCTTAAGCTTAGAGTTATAAAACAGGAGAACGACCCCAAACCCAGCAGTAAATCTGCAACATCATTTCTGGGTGTTATAATTGTCCAATTTAAAAACCCGACGTCAACCTGACTGAAATGTTTTGGCAGGAGCTTGGAGAGCTGTGCATAAACAAATGCCTGCAAACTTTAGTGAACTGAAGCAACACTGTAAAGAAGGGTGGGACAAAATTCCTCCACAATGATGTGAGAGACTGATTAAGTCACAGAAAACAGTTACTTGACATTAGTGCTTCTAAAGGTGGTTAAATAAGCTCTTGAATTATGGGATGCACTCAGCTTTTCAAACACTGCTTCTTAATTTTTGGCAAAATTTGTTGTTAAATAAATAATAACACTTTGTAATATGTTGTATTGTTGCTCACCTGAGGTGGTATTTACCTAGCATTAAGTACACCAGGTGTGCTTTAGATTATGTGCTTGTACATAAAACCTTTGAATTGATTGGTGTACTGTTTACCGTGACCGTATATGTAGTATTTGCAATGTCTCATGTGCGTTTCAGTGTGCATGGTTGAATGTGTCTTCCATGTTATATTTATCTGTTTGAATATTTTTAGGATTAATTAAAAGTCGTCAACATTTTTCAACTAATCAAATGGAACTTGAGTGTTTTTAAGAAGGGGTTTCATTGTGTGTGAGTACAGATGTCTGCACATGGAGAAAGATGCTTTGTGCCACGTCTTTTTGCTGCTATGTTATTTTAAATACACGGCAGCAAAAAGAAACAGACACCCTTCAGCCAGTGGCTTTCTTCAGCATTTCTGATACATGTATTTGTGTGACCCTCAATAAAGCAACCCCTGGACCTATTCTCTGGTTGACAGCAGTTATTTACAAAAGTACCAAAATAAGGATGTGCTCTGGCCACGCAAAATGTTAAGACCACTGGAATCAAGAACGATGAGTTGGTGGTTGTGAGAAAAGAAGGGTTGCACATTAGCTGGTCTAAAACTGTAGAGTAATAATCATATTTATATATGATTATTACTCTATATAAAGATGTCTAGATCCAATTTTTAATCTAATCCTATCCTTCCCCGTATATAGAGCCTGTTAGTTTGAAACAAGATACCCACTTTACTTCTGATTGGCTGCCCCTCATCTGGGTTCCTTGAATAGAGTAATACATTTTGTGTATCCACTGTTAATGTGCTTTCTTTTTTTTTTTTGAAAAGGGGGGGGGGGGGGGGTCTGGCAACTAAGAAAAGATTTTGAGGAAATCTTGAGAAAGCTGAGTCAAGTGTACCAGGGAGTGGAGGCTGCAAAACTCTCAACAGCTGCGACTTTATTAAGGAAAACCTCTGTTTTTGTTTGTTTGGTTTTTTTTGGGGGGGGGCAATTAAGAAGAAAGACTCGGGTAAAAAAATAAATAACGGGTCCCCTTTATTGAAGAAACAAGGATCTTATTGTCTTGAAGTAATGTTTAAGATTCTGGGTCATAGTCTGCCTAATTTCCCTGGTGGGATTCCTTACAGAGTTCACAGCAGCCGAAGATGACTCAAGGTGAAGCGGATGAGGATGACAAGAAGAATATGTCTTTAGAGCAAATCAATGAGAGAAAACAGCAGGCGAGGGTCGCTCAGTCACTACAGGTTCATGACTATGTAAGTTTCATTTCATAGTTCTTTGATACACATCCTTATCAGTTAATATATTTAAAATAAGGAAAAAACAATATATTTATTTATTTGAAAAAATCTAAATTTTATGAACCATTGGTCTAAACTGTGCTAAAACGCAACCTTCTGTTTCTGCCTCTTCAGGCAGGAACAGTGCTGGTGCTCAAAGAGCCAGATACTGTTCATAAAGAGGCTCATCAGTCTCCAGCACTTCCCAGATCTCGGGCCGAGCCTGCTGCAAAGAAGCCCCGGGTGCCACTGAAGCCCTCGCAGGAACCTGAGCAGATTTTTCCTTGCAAGAAATGCAACAGGTACGACAAAAGCCATCACAGAGATTGGCGTTAATTCCTGGCCTGTTAGCATTGTGTTATGAATGTTTGCTCATTCATTATAAGAGTCCAAATAATGCTGGTGATTTTTGGTTCATCTCAGTGTGCTGATCTCTGTGGGGCACAGTGTGTTTAGAAGTTTCCGTGAATTCCGTGATATATTTATTTATTTATTTATTTTTTGTTTTTTTTCAATAGCGCCGCTTTTATCCAAACAGTTGCTATCAAGCATAACGCTGCACCCTTTTCCTCCCTTACAGAGTGTTTTATAAAGTGAAGAGTCGAAGCGCTCACATGAAGAGTCATGCCGAGCAGGAGAAGAAGGCTGCAGCGCTGCGTCAGAAGGAGGAGGAGGAGCAGGCAGCAGCTCAAGCTCGAGCCAGGAAGGCGGCGGCGGCGGCGGCAGCAGCAGCGGCGGCGGCAGCTGTGTCTGCTGCAGAGACCCAGCGGGGAGGTAATGGGAATGGAGCGTCAGAGCAGGCTGAGGCCAGCAGCCAAGAGGACTCATCAGAGGGGGAGGATGACGACGATGAAGACTGGCAGTGAGACCGATATAAAGACGAACATTAATGGGATGGATTGACGTGTAAATAGAGGGGAGATGGTGAACAAATCAGGGAGGGAGGTGTTTAAAAACACGTGCTCCCCTATGAGGAGCAGAATAAGCACAAGATGCTTTTAAAGTCTTCCTGTTGATCTTTTCACTTGTTTCCTGACCTGAACTGTTTGTCTTTGACTGTAATTCAGATTCACACCGTCAGCGTGTAAGCCACACTCCACATTTTCACATTTGTACCTTTGAAATAATCAGTTTGTTTTTTTTGTTGGTTTTTTTTTTTTTTGTGTGTGTGTGTGTAAAATGTCCGTGTGCTATGCTTCTGCTTTTGCTAATAGGGCCTTTTTAAATCTTATTTAATTGAACATATGTTAAGATCTTCAATGGTTGTTTGATGAATCAGGATATCTTTCTAGCAATAAAATGAGATCAAGGCAATCATTACTTTATAGTTGCTTCCCTTTAAAGACCGAAGCCATTTTTGTTTCAAATACTTCTTACAGGAAAAAAAACAGCGCTGAATTTAGCAGATTTCTATCAGATTTTTAGGTGGGTTGTACACTTATTTTTAAACTAAGGGACCTTTGAAATGAATATGTACAAAAAATATATATATGAGACTGTCATATATTTATGATACTGCATTTTTTTTTTTTTTTTTTTTCAGTGATTTTGATAATATAAAAAGTAATCATGTCGGCTGTAATGTGACTGGTGAATTGAGAAATGTATTAAAGAAATATATTCTTCTGAGGAGTGGATGGGGTTTTTTTGTTTAACCAGCAGATGGCGGCAGAGGTTCAGTGTGATCTGAGAATTTCCCTTCATGGTTGCCTGTAGGTGAATGGAAATATTGCTGTTGTCTGATTGGCCTAAGATAAACGTGGCTGAAATTCTATGTAGACCAAGTCAAGATTTATGTCATTTTATATTCCTAAATCATAACATCCTTATACATCTAGTGGGCAAAGAGAGATTTACTTCTAATGCTGTGCTCATAGGTCTTATATGCCAGACAGGCTCCAAAGGCCTATAATTTTAAGATTAAGGGCTGGAAAGCCAACTTGTCTTGAGACGCTAGGGAGTGGTGAAATTTTGCATTGATCTTTGGTGGCATAATTCAGCCATTTAGGAGTGTGAGCCATAAAGGGAAATGATGCTCTCGGGAGATGAGATGCGAGGCATATTGCGCTGAGATTATTGAAGACAAAGTGGCTCTGTTTCTGTCTCCAGCCCATCAGTGACTGAGTGGCCTTCATTTACTTTCCTCCTGCTGCAAAAATCTAGCAGCAGACATTGCTTTAAACACATAATCTGACTTTGGATGAGTGTAAGGAAAAAAAAAAATCCACATTTGTTTCATGTGATCCTTTGATTTAAAGTGGACCTACTATGATTTTCTTTACATGCCAAAAGCTCAGGCTACAGACTGCCTGAAACACTTGGTTTTACACATTTTTTTTGCACGCTCTAGAAGTTTTAAATGAGAAGAGCTTTTTTATTTATTTATTTTTGTTTCTTTAACGGGAAAAATATATACTCATAACTATGTCCTGTCTTCTTCCCCTCACCTGGTCACAACAGACGGCAGCCCTCCCTGAGCCTGGTTCTGCTAAAGGTTTCTTCCTGTTAAAAGGCAGTTTTTTCTTTCCCACTGTCTCCAAAATGCTTGCTCATAGGGATTATCTGATTGTTGTTGTTTGGTTTTGGGGTTTTTTCTGTTTTCCTTCTATGGGTCTTTACATTACAGTACAAAGACAATTAATGCAACTAACTGTTGATGTGATTTGGAACTATATAAATAAAACTGAATTTAATTTAAAAATTGAATTGAATTGAATTGAATAAATAGAAATTGAGTAGTGTGTCTGGTCAGATAAAAACTAGCCAGCTAAATAATAACAGGAGCTAGTTTTAAGCTAACATTATACCTAATATAAAATGTCCTAAAAAAAAAATAAAATCACAGTTTTCCTCTGATTTAATTTTGATCATTTGATTACATGCTCACATCATAAGAGAGTTTATTCGGCAAGTGTCCAAGTTCAACAATGTTGTTCTATTTAAAGAAAGATTCACTAATGTAAGCTAAAAACAGCTAAGCGAAGCTAATCTGTTAGCTGAGGCTAATAGCGGCTAACCCAAATTAATGCTTTGCTGAGCTTTAATGTATTTGTGTTTTATTTTACTGTTTCCATCTTATACTACCTTTTCCTTTTACTCCACTGTATGCTGGATAATCAAGTTTAACATTAGTTATTAGGTAAATAACAAATTGAATTCATGTTTTTTATACCTGAATTTAAACCATCACATTAGACTTCTCTGAGAAATCAGAAATTAATCAAATATTTAACCACTAAAAGCTTCTCTCTGTAAAATAACAAAACAAAAAAACAAAGAACACTAAAACTAATTTCTCTGTTCAGAAATGGAAGTAAATAGCTGTAATATGGCATCTTAATTGAAAAATAATCAAATGCTTTAAGATCATGCTTTTGCTTTTTTGTAAAACAATAAATATAATTCCAGCTAAAGCGCTTCCACATACCGGTGGATTAAATATTACAGAAACATTTCAGGCAGCTGTGACATAAACCTTACATTTCTGGTCTCATTCATGTGTTGTAGCCCCCCTCACTGTGTTCCCATGCTGTGTTCTTGCCACTCCTGGTCCACCCCATTTAAAAAAAATCCTGCTAATGCCTCTACTGCAGAAGGTGTAGAAATCAAAATGCTGACTTGCAGTTTGCACTATATAATTTTTCATTACTGATGGCCCTCTCAACACCACCCTGCCACAAAACCAGGCCAAATGTAATGACTTTACAACGAAAATGAAAAAGATGAGGGTTGCACATGACAAACTCATTGGGCACTTCAAGAAGATGAATAAGAACACCTCTACACATGCTTAATCATGTGATTACTGCACGATGCAGTTGTAAAGCAGCATAGGGCATGGGGCAAGGCAGTATGTAAGATAAAATCCTGGAGATGGAGGCCAGGAACTATGACACATCAGTAAGGGCAGGATTTCTGAAACGGACCTTCTGAGATATTCACCACAAAACAAAACAAAAAAAACATTGTTGATGATAAAGCTGAACAGCCAACCTGATTTGGAGCTAAAGAAAATGGGTATGGTAACTAAAGATCACCAGTCTCATAACTGAAATTAGCCAAAAAGCACAATGAAGAATATATCCAACACATAGGCTGATGAGTTACAACAGCATAAGACCACAAACAAATCTGCCCTGTCCTTTCTCAAAAGTCCAGGCTGTTTGAGGAATATTAATGGCAATCAATAAAATTTCAAACGCCACAGCCTTTGAAGAATGTCGGCAACTGTCACAAGTTGTTGTTACATCATCAGTGAAATTCAAGCCTCATTCACACTTCTCTGTTTTATCTCACAGTGTGACAGAAGTTGAATAAACCAGTCTGCTTGCCATGCAGGCCCACATGGCATTAGACATTTGCACATGATGGCTCCTCTGTGGGTTTCTGCTATATTTGGTTACCCATAACTTCTTCCTAGGTGTTGCTGAAAAGTCTCTGTATATTTGGAGAAGGATAATCCTTGTGTTATAATATATCATCTAAAAGGTTTTTTTAAAAGCTCTGCTTAGATCCAATAAACAAAAAGAGAAGGTTCAAAAGAATTTGAGATACAACACACATTCCCTCTTTGTAATATAAAGTTAATCCTGATATATTCATCTTGCAGATTACTAGCTGATGTGAGAAAGTGAGTCAAAAAAATGATAAACCACCACATGACATTAAAGCTATCTGTAACTACCCGGCCCTTTTCTAACAGTTGAACAAAGCAAGAGGCGCATTCATTGCTTTATTGTCTTTGCCTGTGTGTACATGCAATTAAATTAGCTGATTACTGGGAGCTAAACATGCTTGGTAAAGCATGTTTACGATTGCGCAAATCCACACGGGCAGATTTAAAATCAGGATCTGTGTAAAGATGGTGCCGAAAACTACCTTGGGAATTCGGATTTAGGTTACACAAAAGTAAAGAAATAGCTCACTGGAGAATGTCAACTGTATCCCAGATGGAATTGCTTTATTGGATGAAAACAGACTGCGTGACCAGTGCAGTGACAGATTACCGGTGTATCCTCGCAGGAGAGATTTCTCATTACAAATTGGGAGAATTTTTTAATAAATCAGTTTTATCTCATGCAGATTTATGCAGAAAGATGCTCTAAAATCTAATCACATCATCTGCTCCATGTGGATCACCTGTGGCATAAGCATAAATTTTGCACTGTGATGATGGGACATAAAAAGTAAGCAGTTAATTTCTTGTAGATGAATAATTTCTGAGACCACTTTGGATTCTGAAAGACAGACAAAATATGAAACATGAAGAATACACTAAGTAACATATTTCCTTATGAAACACTAAAACGTTTCTTCTTAAGATCATTAAGCTTTTTAAAGTGTGCAACTTAGGAAACATTAACAGTTTAAAAAGTGTGGCTATGTGTGTGTGTGTGTATATGCAATGAAATGCAGCTGACAGTGTGGTGTACTCACTGTCCTGAGGACTTGTTTTGCCGTGCAAGTGACAGAGTATTACTGGGTTTACAGTGAGGATCAAATGTCTTCCCTGAGCACAGGGCCTGCTAATAAAGCCCCATTAGAAACCCAGTTATATGGATGCAATAAAATAGATTGGGGCGTAGAAGATGAAGATATTACAATTCAGACTGGAGTGGCACAGTGGAGACAAAGGCTAAATGCTAAATCAATGTCATTAAATGTCTGGAAGACGAATGCGGGGATCTGTGGCTCTCAACCAGCAGGGCCAAGGTTAAATCTGATGCAAAGCAGAGAGATTATTAATGTTCAGCCAGTGAGCAAGAAAATATTTTCACGGTATGACCTGTGCGGCTGCAGGTCAGTTTCATTCTTGTGGTAGCTATATGGAAGGAAACCAAGGCCAAAGTGTATAGCATGCTCAAAAAGAAACTCCTTATAGATGACGCACCATGCAGCAGGCAGTATTTCAAATTGTGGTTCCTTAACAGGCAAAAGCATTCAATATTCATGATATGATTTTTCATCATTAAAAGACATCAAATCTTGTTTGCTGTCTGTGATAACAGTGCTCATTATGACAAATATTTAATCAGCCACTTAAAAAGCACTGAACTATGAAACAAATGGACTACAGCAGCAGAAGACCACACCTGCAGCCTCAACTAAGAACAGGAAGCTGAGGTGATAATTCACACAAGTTCACCAAAATTTGACGTTTTTCTAAAAGATTATTGGAAAAATGTTACCTCGTCTGACGAGTCAGAGTTTCTGCTCTCACATTTAGAGGGTAAGGTCAAAATCTGGCTTAAAAAAATGAAAGTATGGATCCATCCTGTCTTGTATCAAAGGTGTATCAAAGTTTAGGCACCTTACTATCAACCGAGCTTTATTTAAAGTGAAACTGGTTTCTCAGATGTGACACTGAGTTCACTGTACTCAAATGCCCTCCACAGTCACCAGATCTGAGTCCAGTAGACAGACCCGTTTGGGATGTGGTGGAATAGGAGATTTGCATCATGGATGTGCGGCTA